TTGTTATTTATATATATCATAAAAAAAATCTAAATTATTTTTAAAAAATCAAACAATAGATATTTTAAAATAAAAATAATATAAAAACATTATCTCTTATTATTTTGTTTTCATAACTAACAAAAATTTAGTTGAAATAATACTCATTAAATTAAAATTTTTGATTTAAACTCAAATCATATATTCAAATTCTGAATCGCAAACCGTTAATTGTGTCCGATGTTAAAAAAAAAAAAAAAGGATTTTGCCTTCATGGATCCCTTTGGCCCGGCGAATCATGCAACATAGCCCTTAAACATGTCAAAAGATGACAAAAAAGTCCCTTAACTGCAATCAGCAGCAAATGACCCCTTAAACTCATGGATGGTGGCAAATCAGTCCTTGTTTAACAGGCGATGTGACAGCTTACTTGGACGGTTAAATGGCTCATCGAAGTTTGACATTGCTTCTCAAGTCATTAAACCATTAACATTTTTTAATATTTTTAAATATTTTATTAAGATTTAATTACTGTAATTTTTTTCTTACATTAAAATTTAATTACTTGCAATAAAAATCAATTGAATTAATTACATCTTAATTGTTATTTTATCAAACAAATAAAAACTCAAAATCTTAAGTAATGTAGGATTATTTCACAATTAAATAGTATCTTTTTATTTTAAAACTTATCTCAGTCTAAAAATTTTAAAAGACTAATTGTGAATTTAGATTTTAGTGAAAAGAAAGTTTGAAGGAAGAAAAATTGAGAACTATGAAATTACATAAACTAATTTTTTTATATAGATTAATTATAAAAGATGTATTAATTACATCTAAATTAGAAAAACCATTATTAAATTTATTTTTCACCTCTTTTTTGATATGTAAATAATTTTTATTAATTAATTAAAAATTAAAATTAATATTTTTATATAGATTAATTATAAAATAATATATTATTACACTCATGTACAATTTAGAAAAACGGTGTTAATAAAATGATGTGAACATTTGATAGGCCTATCTAAACCAAGATTTTGTTAGTATTAATCAACATGAGAACGTTATTGTACTTTATTAACTACCTTATCATTGTAAATGACTTCTCATACTAAAATTGAAAGGTATGAGATTTGAGTCGTACCCTTATATTAAATAGAAAAAAAACACATTAATTTTTTTAACAATCCAAAAAAATCTTTTAAAGCAATATTTAATCACTTTCCAAAAGTAAAAAAGGTGATGGAAAATGTGACAATTAAGAATAGACAAAGATTGTACTAAATTAATGATCCTATAATCTTTGGTGAAAATAACAAATCTTCAATTTGAGTTGTACGAGATGTAAAGTGGGTAAGTTAAGAAATAAAAAATTATTGTTTTTTATTATACCATTTAAATTTAAGACAAAAAATCATATATATCTAACCATTCCCTTTTAAACATTAAAAAACAAAACAATCTCTGCATCTTAGACTTGTTATTTTACATTTTTACTCCTTTTAGTTTCTTTCATTTATGTCAGATTCTGAGCATTCAACCCAGGATGTAGAAAGAAGGCTAGAGTAAGGAATGATAGAAGATTGTTTTTTATCAAACGATTTAAAATTAATATATATATATATAGAATAGAGATTTGTTTACTTATAAATTATATATAATATTTATATAAAATTTTAATTATTTTTTTATTTTTATTAATTAAGAAAATTTAATATTTATTAAAAATAATTATTTTTTATTTAAAAAATCATGATAAATTTTAATCATTAAAAATAAAAAATAATAATAATTAAAATTTTATATAAATGTACATGAATAAATCCCATGCACACGCGTGTATATATATATATGGTCATTCCCTTTAAAACATTAGAAAAACAAGACAATCTCTGCATCTTACACTGGTTCTTTTACTGCTTTTAGTTTCTTTCATTAATGTCAGATTCCGCGCCTTCTAAGGTGCCTGTTCTTGTCTCGTGAATGCATTTTTGAATTTTGATCAATCACCGTACTTCTCCTTTTGCACTGCACATGTCTGTTTTAATCAAAATTTGTCTTTCTTTCCCTTCGTTTAGAGTTTGTTTTTGTTACGGTGACTTATAAAAGTTCTAGTATCTGTTCTTGGCTACTGTAGCTTCCGTAGCCTGAATTTTTAAAGCGTTATTAGGTAATGAGTTTCAGATTATTACCATTTTTTTCCCTGTTCAATGAAAGCTTAGTTCGTCCAAACCATATTATTCATATTTTTCTTTTATTTTAGGCAGGCATTGTATTGATGTAACAGTTGACTAGAGCAGTTTGCTATCCGAATTCTGATCGTTTTGTAGACTTGGACAGTTGGGAGTTTCTTGGTTGTGTTTGGTAGAAAAGAAGATTAAAGAATGATGTGGAGGAGAAATCTTTGTGTGGTTATCATATTGATTGTAGGAGTTTTGGGACGTGAATTGTACTCTGTGGAGGGCGGGCCTCGCCCTAGCCGGATTCTTCTGGATACGGACGCCAATACAGATGATTTGCTTGCTCTCTCGTACCTCTTGAAGCTCAACAGATCAGAATTTGCATTGGAGGTGAACAATTTATCTTCATTGATTTTTCATCTCAAAACTGATACAGGGTATAATAGTCTACAAGGTGTAGTGGAAATGGTAAGGAGGCTAGTGACTCTGATTAATGCAGGCTGTGACTATAAGCGCTAATGCATGGAGCAATGCTGGACACTCTCTGCATCAAATTTATGACATCCTATACATGATGAATCGTGATGACATTGCTGTTGGTGTTGGAGGAGATGGTGGAATTCTTGAAGATGGTACCATTTTACCAAGTGTTGGGGGATACCTCCCTCTAATCGAACAAGTAAATAATACTCTCCTCCTTCATCCTTCTGTCGCTCTGTTGAAAGTTTCTCAGGAAAATTTAGAGGAGTTTCTGGGTTATCTTGTTCATATTGTACGTGAAGCATTGCAATTTTGTACTTTGTTGTGCATTTCTTGATTTCTGCTTGTTCTCTTCATGCTGTAATCTTTAGTTTACTTATATCAGGGAATTTCAACAGTTGGAGGTTGTAGATATAGGCAAGCAATTCCAATAGGCCAAGGAGGAAGATTAGATAAAGATGCTAACTACGGGATTCGAAAAGCATTCCTTCCCCAGGTAAGAAATTGTATTGTAATTTTGATTTGTTTATTGGTTGCAGATTGCAGAAGCCCCTTCCTTCATTAGATTGCTAGCTCATTAGTCTGTTCTTTGAATCAGGGCAGCAGGAGATATTTTCCTCTTCAACAGCCTACTGCTCAACAAGTGATGATTGATAAAATCTCTGCAGGTCCTATTACCATATTTCTCATTGGATCTCATACAAACTTTGCCATTTTTCTCATGAATCATCCATATTTAAAGAAAAATATCGAGCACATATACATAATGGGTGGGGGAGTGGAATCCAGTAACCCGACTGGTTGCTGCCCTGGAAATGATACCAGTACTTGTCCAGTCAGTCAGTGTGGTGGCACCGGTGACTTGTCTACCGACTACAATACTAATCCTTATGCTGAGTTCAATATCTTTGGGGATCCTTTTGCTGCTTATCAGGTGACAGAAAAAATTCATTTGCGCATATAATCCAAGAACTGCTTGTTCATTTATTGCATTTTAAGATACCAATAATACCATTGACCCTTGTAACAGTAAGAAGTGTGCTAATTGTGTAGGTTTTTCATTCTGGTGTTCCAGTCACTCTTGTTCCCCTCGATGCAACGAACACTATCACATTAAGCGAGAAGTTCTTTAAGGCATTTGAGCAGAGGCAGGATACCTATGAGGCACAATATTGCTTCCAGTCCTTGAAAATGGCGCGTGATACTTGGTTTGATTCAAATTTCTACTCGGTAAGTTCTTCTATAATATAAAAGTTCATAGAATTCCTTTTGTTGAATGCACCCTTGATTTCTTTGTTTTAACTGTTTCAATAGAGCTTCTTCATGTGGAATTCGTTTACAATTGGTTTAGCAGTCTCAATCATGAGAAATTCCAACAATCATGATGGGCAAAATGAATTTGCTGATATGGAATACATGAACATAACAGTAGTCACTTCAAATGAACCATATGGAATATCTGATGGCTCAAATCCATTCTTTGATGGCCATAATGTTCCAAAGTTCCATTTAAAGAAAGGTGGAGTGCATAGTGGCCATGTCCAGACAGGACTTCGGGATCCCTTTTGCTTTGTAAAGGGTGGGAAAGGGAAATGCAAGGTAATTGCATTCTTTCACTATGTTAGTAACATGATAAACATCTTATAGTAGTTGAAGAAAAGATTTCTCTTGTTTGAATCCACTTCTCCCTACAAAGAATCTTCCTTCTATTGCTCATGTCAGATTCATGCTAAGTAATACTCTTTTGGCACTTCGTGTTAATGATTATCTGATTGTTTATGTAAAATCCATTCCAAAAAAACCTATAGGACGGTTACACTCCAAAGGTAACAGGTCCTGATGCAGTTCGTGTTCTCGTCGCCAAAAAGGCAAAACCTAGTAATTGCAGTGAACTTGACAGGGCATTCTACAAAAACTTCTTGGATGTAAGTCATTCACTTCAATTTCCAAGATTCTATTCCTTACCCAGATTTTTGTAGCATTTTGTTCAATGTTGAAGAATTTTAACTCTACCATCCTTGACAATATGGTTTGCAGGTTATCAATCTCCCCCAGAATACTGGGAGATTCAATTTTACAACAGAATTTCCTTATTACAGAGAAGTTTTTTTGAAACCAGATTTCAGAACCAAAAAGTTGGGGAAACCAGTTATCTTTGACATGGATATGAGTGCTGGAGATTTTATTGCTCTATTTTATCTCCTTAAAGTACCTGTGGAAGTGATTGATCTCAAGGCAAGTTATTTTTCCCTTGCTTCACTTGCTCTTCTTTTAGCCACTGCACTTATTGAAAGAAGCAGTTTTTGATGTGCAAAATGTTATCGCTCTCCTTTCAATTCCAGGCAATAATAGTAAGTCCAAACGGCTGGGCAAATGCTGCAACAATAGATACTGTTTATGATTTACTACATATGATGGGTCGTGATGACATTCCAGTTGGTCTAGGAGATGTATATGCTCTGAACCAGACTGATCCCTATTTTTCTGGTGTTGGAGACTGCAAGTATGCTAAAGCAATCCCTCATGGGAGTGGGGGATTCCTGGACTCAGATACTCTTTTTGGGCTTGCTCGATACCTGCCTCGAAGTCCTAGAAGGTGTCATCTTTTTTGTTTCTCCATCATTCTATCTGATCCAGTGTTCAATTTTAAGTAGTTTAGTACTGAAATGTTGACAATTTCACTACAGGTACACAGCAGAAAACTCTGTAGTGTTTGGTGCTCCCAGGAATACTTGTCATCCTGAACTAAGACAGCCTCTAGCATTAGAAATCTGGGGTTCTGTAATGAAGACACTGGATCCCGGATGCAAGATTACAGTATTAACCGATGGACCCTTGACTAATTTAGCCAAGGTCATTCTATCCAATACAAATACCATCTCTAAGATTCAAGTAAGTAGGTTTGTTTTACTTTCTGTTTGGAAGCTTCTGATAAGTAGAAAACATGGTAGGACACTATAGACGAGCATGGCAGAAATATTATGCACATGAAGAGTATGGTTATGCTACTGACATTTATGCTGACTCTAAAAGATCAGTGCTTTAGCCTGGCATATGGGCATTTTGCGTGAGACTGAAATTTTTTCCCATTGGTTTTTATCTCATTGCAGGAGGTGTTTATTGTTGGAGGACACATTAGTAATAGGAGCAGTGATAAAGGAAACGTCCTTACTATTTCTTCAAACAATTATGCAGAGTTCAACATGTTTCTTGACCCTTTGGCTGCAAAGACAGTCTTCAACTCAGGACTAAACATCACACTCATCCCCCTCAGCACACAGCGCAAACTAAGTTCATTTCCCAACATACTAGAGAGGCTGCAGAAAACAAAGGAGAGTCCTGAATCACAATTCGTGAACAGCTTACTGTCCAGGCTACACTGGCTGCAACAGGCTCACCAGAGCTATCAGCACACGGTAAAATTTTCCAATGTATTCAACTATTCATGGATGAAGAGCTTAAAAGACTTCAAATATTGTCCTGGAATAAAACCTAGCTGTATTACTGATTTTCATTTTTCTGCAGGATATATTCTTGGGTGAGATCTTTGGCGCAGTTCTCTTGGGTAGTGATCATTCCGTTTTGAAGCCTACCTTTGAAGAAAATAACATCAGGGTCATTTCTGAAGGTGATGAATCCATAGATGGACAGATTGTGATTGATGAAAGGCAAGGAAAATCTGTAAAAGTATTGAGAAATGTTGATCCTGTGGCATGCTATGATCTATTTGCAAATCGACTGAGTGATGAAGAGCAGTCTGCTGTATTAGGAAGCTATGATGAACAGACAAAAATCTGGAGAACGCCACACATATAGCCTTGAATTCCCAGCCAAGGCATTGAACAAAACAGAAGTTTCAAAGAGAATAGTGTACTTGTGCTTGTAGATGGCTCAATAAAAAGGAACCGTTATCTATGAGATCTAGAGTTACCTATACTTTTAAGGTTTGTTTGGATAAAAATTAATAAAGGAGAGTGAAGAAAAGAGAAGGAAAGGAAAATCAAGAAAGGAGGAGAAGCAAAGGAAAAAAAAAAAAAAAGGAGAGAATTAATGTTAACTTTATTTGGATAGACGAAAGTAAAGGAAAAAAAGAGAAAATATTTTTATTTAATTAAATAATTTAAACAAAAATAAAATAAAATATTTAAAATTTACTAATTAAAATAAAATATTTTTATATATTTATTTGTTAAAAATATTAAATATGTAAATTAAATCTCTAATAAATTTTCTAACTTGAAGGGATAAAAAACAGATGAGTAGATGAAGCTTTATCACTTTCAATCTTTTTTCCTCTCCATCAATGAAAAAACAAATAGAATAAGGTAGAGATTTGCCCTCACTCTCATTCCTTTTCCCTCCAAATTCATCCATTTAAATAGAGACTTAATCACAAGTGTAGAATTAAATCCCTAATCCCTATTTAAAATAAAGCTGCTCAATAAAAAAGAAACGATTAAAATAATAGATGCTATAGAAAACAAAAATAATTTGGTTTCTTTCATATATTATATGCCCATGTACCCAAATCAGGTTCACTCTATAACAAATGATCATAGCCCTCATTAGGAACGCTAAACAAATCAAAGGCATAACAGGGAAACTTAGAACAAAGTTCAAACAACACTATAGACTTTGTAAAATCAATCAAAATGATCCAATCATCATATGAAGGATTGAGCGTAGAAAGACTTCATCTACAGAATTAAATCAAACGAATTAACGCTATTTCAAGCAAACCAAGATGCAGACCAACACTCATTGCGTGATTCCTTTAGGAAACATAGCAGAATGAAATCTAAGAATTTTGAAGAGGCAGGACATAGGCAAAGCAGCATAGAAGCGTAACAAAGAAGAAGCTAAATCCAAAAAGAATGCAGAGTAACACAGAAACCCAAGAAGACCCAACGGAAATTAGCAAGCTTCAACTAATTGAACCGAAAGAATCATTTCAAAATCCAATAATTGCATCAGGTTCCTCCCAAAGAAATCAAACAAGTTCAATAAAAATTCATGAGAATTAAAGAGAGAGACAAGCAAGATTCAAAAGGGAATTCTTGAATACTCAGATACTCACATAAACAAGGAGAAAAACCATCGAAATAAAGCACAAGAACTTACACACTCAAATGGGTTAGCTTTTTTATTCTTTATTTTTATATTTCCTGTCCAAATTTTGCGCAATTTAACATCAATTAATCTTTAAGTAATTTTAAAATTATTTAATATATTCAATAAATAAAATTAAAATTTTTAAACTATTTATTTCAAGACTTTAACCTAATAATTATCTAACACTCGTGACTTAGTGATCACTTCTTTGAAAGGTGTGATTGAACATAATGACCTAAATTTTATTTTCAATTCTACACTCCCCTTCTCTTGAAAATTCTCCTCTGTTAAAAAAAAAAA